TGAACAAAAATTTCATAAGAAATCTGTTGTTGAGGAGGATCAGGCTCTTAATGTCATTCATGAATCTGGTTACAAAGGTGGAAGGGTTGGTAGAGGATACTATCCTAGTTGTGGAAGAGGTAGAAGTGGCAGGGGTTATACTAGAGATTATGTGGAGTGTTTCAAATGCCACAAGTTGGGGCACTATAGAAGTGAATGTCCAGACTGGTATAATCAGCAGGCTCACTTCTTTGAGTCTATGTATATGAAGGAAGATGTGATACTAATGGTTGTGACTGAAGAGATGCAACAAGTGCCATGTCATGAAGGCTGGTGGTTTTTAGACTCGGGTTGTAGCAACCACATAACAGGCAACAAAAGCTGGTTCACTAATCTGACTATTACTGGAACTAGATCTGTTAAACTGGGAAATGGTACAAGGCTGGAGGTTCAAGGCAAGGGAACTGTCAAGATTCAAACAGATCAGCTGACTTTGCAGATCTAGAATACCTTCTATGTACCTAGTTTAAAGACAAATTTGCTTAGTCTTGGCCAGCTATAGGAGAGGGGACTGGAGTTCTTGATCAAAGGCAACACTTGCAAGGTCTTTCATGAATCAAAAGGGTTATTAATGCAGTTGTACATGAATAGTGACAGGATGTTTGTCTTACACGGTGAGAAACCTGGAGTAGCCAGATTAGCAGATATTCAGTGTTTTCAGGTCACAGACAATGATAAGAGAATGTTGCATCTGTGGCACAGGAGGTATTGTCATCTCAGTTATTAGGGTGTAGTTGGATTCCAGAAGAAAGGGATGGTGACTGGAATTCCTTTACTGGAAGGGACTCCTGATCTGTGCTCTACATGTCTGGTTAGTAAGTAGCACAGAAAACCATTTCCAAAAAAAAGCAAATGGAGAGCAAGTCACTAGTTGCAACTCATTTATGCAGATATTTGTGGTCCCATCACACCTGTGTCTAATGGGGGAAGAGGTATGTCTTTACCTTGATAGATGATTTTACTAGAAAACTGCGGGTGTACTTTCTGGTTCAAAAGTCTGAGGCTCTTAGTGTGTTTAAGAGCTTTAAAGCGCAGGTTGAAAAAGAGTCAGGCTCTTTTATTACTTATCTTAGAACTGATCGAGGAGGGGAGTTTATGTTAAATGAGTTTAAGGAGTTGTGTAGTGAGGCAGGTATCAGAAGGAAGCTTACTGCAGCCTTAATCCCACAACAGAATAGGGTTGCTGAGAAGAAAAATAGAACCATAATGAATATGGTTCGATATATTCGAGCTGGTACAAAAATTCCAACTCGCTTTTGGCCAGAAGCTGTTTTGTGGACTACTCATGTTCTAAACAGAAGCCCTACAACTGCTCATCCGAACAAGACACCACAGGAAGTTTGGTCAGGGTATCCTCCATAAGTAGATCATTTCAGGGTATTTGGATGTGTGACACATGTTCATGTACCAGATCAACAGAGAAAGAAACTAGATGACAAGAGCTTACCATGCATACTTCTTGGTATTTCATCAGAATCCAAGGCCTATAAACTGTATGATCCAAATACAAAGAAAATGTTGGTCAATCAAGATGTGGTGTTTGATGAGTCGCAGGGTTGGACATGGAACTCAGAAGTTCAACCAGTCCTCAGCAACATATTTTGGGAAGGGAGTGAGGAGGAGTGGCATGATTCTGATGAAGAAGAGGGTGGTTCTACATATGTTTCTTCAACAGATATTGTAGCTGACTATTTTGCAGAATAACCTACTAGTCCAAATACAATGTCAGTCACTCCAGCTCCTGCTGGTGGTGATGGAAATGAAGATGAGGAGGATACTGACGTGCTAGGACTGCCTGGAAGCTCAGACATGGGTCCTAGAACAAGAAAGGCTCCAGCTCACCTTGATATTTATGACCTCATATATCATACATCAGGGTGTGTTTCTATGGTAGCAGTCTCATATGATCCAGAGACATGGAAAGAAGCAGTTCTGGATGAAAAATGGAGAGAGGCTATGAAGAAGGAGATAGCTGCAATCATAAAAAAATGATACATGGATCCTAACTACTCTACCTGTTGGAGCAACAGCTATCGGAGTAAAGTGGGTGTTCAGGATAAAACTAAAGGAGGATGGCTCAATCGACAAATTCAAAGCAAAGCTTGTTGCAAAAGGATACTCTCACCAACATGGTGTAGATTACATAGAAGTGTTTGCTCCAGTGGCCAGATGGGATACCATCAGGACTTTTCTTGCACTAGCAGCTTCTCATGGACTGACTGTGTTCCAACTTGATGTGAAGAGTGCATTTTTACACGGGGAATTAACTGAAGAGGTGTACATTGAGCAACCTCAAGGTTTTGAGGTTGCTGGGGAGGAAAGTAAAGTTTATAAACTAAAGAAAGCCCTCTATGGCCTGAAACAGGTACCTCGAGCCTAGTACAACTATAGAGGGATACTTTGCTTCAAATGGATTTGAGAGATGTCCATATGAACACACTCTCTTTGTCAAGAAGTCTGGATCAGGTATGCTACTTGTAAGCTTGTATGTTGATGATGTGATGTAAGCAACCAAAGATCCTAACATGATTAAGGAGTTCAAAGACTCAATGGAAGCTGAGTTTGAAATAACTAATTTGGGAAGAATGAGGTATTTGTTGGGGGTAGAAGTTACTCAAACTGATGCTGGGATATTTATTAACCAACAGAAATGCATAAAGGAAGTGTTGCAGCGTTTTCAGCTCTCTGAATGCAACCATGTACTAGGTCTCAAATTGACTAAGGCAGGAGATGGATACATGATCAATGCAACTGAGTATAAGCAGCTGATTGGCAGTCTGCTATACACTACAGCTACACGACCTGATATCATGTATGTTGTGTGTATGCTCAGTAGGTACATGGAGGCTCCTACTAGGCAGCACATGTTGGCTGCAAAGAGATTGTTGAGATAATTAAAGGGAACAACCAGTTATGGGATTTGGTAAAAAAAGACAGATGGGGAGGATCAGCTAACAGGGTTTACTGATAGTGATTATGCAGGTGATACAGATGATAAGAAGAGCACAAGTGGATATATTTTCTTCCTTGCTGGTGCTGCAATTTCTTGGGCTTCAAAGAAGCAACCTGTAGTCACTCTATCTACAACTGAGGCTGAATTTGTTGTCGCCTCCCACTGCGAAACTTAGTGTGTTTGGTTGAGAATAATTCTAGAACAAATGGGTTGGGAGAGCAGTATGAAGGAAGGCACCAAAATCTATTGTGATAATAGTTCTACAATAAAGCTCTCGAAAACCCAGTGTTACATGGAAGAACTAAACTGATCAATGCAAGGTTCCATTTTATGAGGAACTTAGCTAATGAAGGGACTGTGGAGCTAGAGCATGTGGGAACCAGTGATCAAGTTGATGATGTGATGAGCAAAGGGCTGAGGACTGAGTCATTTCAATTGCTGCGTGAGAAGATGGAGGTTTGTGATGCTAATGTGTTTGTGGAATCAAAGTGGCCAGATTGGAAGATCAGAAGATGCTCCAGTTCAGGGGAGGATGTTGAAGGTTGAACTGGAGCTGCTGCTGAAGACTAATGATGAAGGAGTTAGCGCCAAAAATATTTCAGTTTGATTTAGTGCAAAGCTGTGTCGTTTGGATAATTATTATTATTATAGTCCTTGAGTCTGTAAATTGTGTCAAGTAAGTCCTATCGAGTCTTTGAAGATTGCAGATTAGTTTAGTGAGTCATGGTTAAGCTTAGTGGGTTGTTAACCTAGTTTTTAGGAGATGTGGTTAGTGGGAAGCCATATCTGTAGGTTGAGAGTCAAGTACTTGAATATGTTTCGTTCATTCTAATAAAATTGTCAGATTGCAACCATTGAGTTTAAAATAGTCTTGAGGGAAGATTGTTATAGAACAATCCAAGTACCACATTGGTAATAAAAGGGAAGGGATACTTGTATATAAGTATCCACCTAACCCAATTAGTACGAGGCCTTTTGGGGAGGATACCCAAATGTAAATCCGTGCGGGCTTGGCCCAAAGCAAACAATATCGTACTAATTGAGCAGCCCGATTTTGACAAAGTGTTATTCGGTATTAGGGATCACAGAATTGGGATCGGTATATAGAGAAATGTCGATCAATACCGAAATATAAGTTAGTGTGGATTTTTATCAATCCTTGCTAGGCTCCTGCACTCACCTCTACCAACCCCTCAACCGACAAGATAGTCACTTGATTACACATAGTTCATTCCCTCGCTATTTGACAACTCAAATCAAGCTTATTTTTGTTACTTGTAGTATGTCTGTGAATTGTGTGGTCTTCTCATGTTTCGGTTTGTTTTTCTAGTTTGCTAATGTGCTTCTTTTGCACCATAATTTTCTAGTTTGTTATTATTGTACTTGACATTTTCTCCCATTAATTTGTTTTACACGATTGTTGGCACGATTGTTTTTTTTTTTATAATGGTTTGTGGAGTGGCTAGCAAAGGAAAAGTATTTACGATTGAATATTTGATTTGGGATTTTGAAGGTAACTAATTTGTTATTTGGTATATACCGATACCGAAAAAATAATTAGCAATTGGGATTGGAATAACAAAATTATTATTTTGGGATTGGAATTGGGATTGAATTTATTACACTATTTGATAGTGTCTACTTTTACTGCAGGTCAGTGTCAGGTCCCTGCCGGTCGAGAAGAAACTTTGGCTTGTGTTTGTCCATTCATGGAACTAGCTTAGCTAGAGGTTCCCTTTCATACGTGATCACTGTTCGATGTTCCAGAAATATATGACATGTCTCCACTTTATGAGTTATGACTGCGTCTAAATATATGATTATTCATTTTCTAATTATCTCTCCATTACTTATACAAACCTACAAATTTCATTTTAATCAACCTCCTTCCTGTCTCTATATAAATCCACTAGTATCCTCCACTTCACAAATAAACCCTTACACTCTCCAATCCAAACAAAAAGAAAAGGAAGAAGAAGAAGAAGAAGAGGAATTCTCCATGAAAATGATGAAGCTCGAAGTGAAAACAACCTCCAAACAAACCGTCCAGCCATCCTCCCCAACTCCTCCTCGCCTCAAAACCTTCCACCTCTCCCTCCTCGACCAACTCATCCTTCCTCCTTACGCTCCACTCATCCTCTTCTACCCGAACTCCCAACACGGCGTCGTATCGAGCAGCTCGCGCCTCAACGTGCTCAAATCGTCCCTGTCCGAAACCCTGAACCGGTTCTACCCGCTGGCCGGAACCCTCTCCTCGGACGATCTCACCATCGACTGCGACGATCGAGGGGCCAATTTCGTCGAGGCTCGAGCCGATTGCACCATGACCCGGTTCCTCACCCAACCGGATCTCTTATCGCTGCCCAACCTCCTCCCCGTCGACCCGGCCGGACCGATGGTCGAGCCCAGACACGTGTCGAATTTCCAGGTCACCGAGTTCGCCTGCGGCGGGATTGCCATCGGGATTTGCATCTCGCACAAGATCCTCGACGGCGCCGCGCTCGGCACTTTCCTCAAGGCGTGGACCACCACCGCGGCCGTCGAGGAGGAAAAGGAAACGAGTAGCGCGCTAATTGATCCCGAATTCGTCGCTGGCACTCTGTTTCCGGCGAGAGGCTCCCACTGGCTCCGGGACGCCTCAATGCCGATGTGGGGATCGTTCTTCAAGACGGGGAAATGCGTGACGCGACGAATCGTCTTCGATTCGCCGGCGATCCTGTCTCTCAAGTCCCGTTCGAAGTCGCCGGCGAGCAGAGTCGAGATCATTTCGGCCCTGCTCTGGAAATCAATCATGGCCGTGACCCAGAAACCTTCCGTCCTCACCCACATGGTAAATCTCCGGAATCGGGTGTCGCCGCCGCTCTCCCGAAACACCGTCGGAAACCTCCTCTGGATCTCGTCGGCGAAACACGATCCGAAAACAGAGCATCCGTTTAAGCCCTCGGCGCTCGGGGAATTGGCGGGGAAAGTAAGGGAATCGATTTCCAAAATCGATTGTGGGTTTGTGGGGAGGCTGATTGGGGCGGAGAGGGAGTCGGCGATGGCGGAGACGTTTGATGGGATCGTGGAGATGAAGACGAAGGAAGGGGCGGATTTTGTAGGGGTTTCGAGCTGGTGCAGGCTGGGGTTTTACGGGTCGGATTTCGGGTGGGGAAAGCCGGTTTGGGTGAGCAGCTACGGGTTGGAAGGTTCGGTGTTCTTGAATCTGGTGATGCTGGCGGATACGCCGTGCGGCGAAGGGGTGGAGGCGTGGGTGACGATGGACGAGGAGGAGATGGCGGCGGTGGCGAGGAATGAGGAGATGTTGGAGTTTGCCAAGTTTGATCCCAGTCCGTTGGTGAATTTGACAAGTGGTTAGTGTAAAACTCAAGGATATACTCGTAAAGTTAGCCGATGAAAGATCGTGATTCAACTGTTTAATACTATAAAAAAAAATTGTTTCCTAGTTTACGTTTTGATATGAGGTTTTACAAACACAGTAAAAAACTATCTTGAGACTGCGAAGTGGAAGTTATTGTCGATGGTAAAAAGTGTTGGAGTTTCTCGGAGTGTATTTTCTTGGGGTTTTCCTATCATAGGCTTTGCCATACTTTTCAGTTCGGTTTTCTTGCTCTAGACCTCGATTTCTCCAGATTCTTCAATGGACGATGAGATATCACAAAGTGGTGGTATACTCATATATACAAAAATTGTGATTCATATTCTTTTTTTTTTCGTATAGGAGGGACATGTTCCATCATTTTAGAGCTCTACAAGTGAATTGTTGAACTTTGTTATAAACGCGCTGCTACGGATCGGGAAATCGCCGGAATCGACAAAGCAAGAATACGAAAGCGAGAATCGAAAACACGACACACGATTTACGTGGTTCACTAACACGATGTGTGTTAGCTACGTCCACGGGCGAGAGAGAGCCGATTTCACTATATCAAGAAGATTACAGATTACAGAGGAGTATGAGAAGTATTTATAGTACTTCTCCATGTGGGTCTAAACCTAACAGCGAGACCCCCGATTACCAGTCGTAGCGGCTGATAGTCCGATTCAAGTCACATCAACAAATCTCCACCTTGACTTGAATCATCTTCCTCTGAAATCTCTGATGCACTCTGCTCCTTCTATCTCTCTCCCGCCATCAATGCCCCGTAGGGCGGAGTCACCCACTCAAGACATTCAGCAAGTCCAAGCAGTGTTGGAACTTGCCATGTGGAACCGGCTTCGTGAACATATCAGCAGGATTATCCGCGGTGCCAACCTTCTTCACCTTAATCCTCTTCTCTATCCTCAAGAAATGATACATCACATCGATGTGCTTAGTCCTCTCATGGTGGACTTGATCCTTGGCCAAACATATTGCACTCAAACTGTCGCAATACACCACTGCCTGATCATGATGTGGACCCAGATCACCAACCAGTCCCTTCAACCATATTCCCTCCTTAGCAGCTTCTGTCAACACCATATACTCTGCCTCAGTAGTAGACAATGTCACCACCGACTACAGAGTTGCCTTCCAGCTCACTACAGAATTCCCAAGAGTGAATACATAACCGGTCATCGATCTCCTCGTGTCAACATCTCCAGCATAGTCCGAGTCAGAATACCCAGACACCAAGCACTCTGTATCACTTCCGAAGCTAATCCCCACATCAGGTGTACCCTTAAGGTACCGGAAGATCCTCTTCACAGCCTGCCAATGCTCCTTTCCAGGTTGTATCATAAACCTGCTGACAACACTAACATCATGTGCAAGATCAGGTCTAGTGCATACCATAGCTTACATCAAGCTACCTACTGCACTAGCATATGTGACTCTCGACATGTACTCCTTCTCAGCCTCTGATTGTGGTGCATAAGCTGAGGATAGATGAACATTTGAAGCACTAGGAGTATTTAAGGGCTTTGCTGAAGACATGCCAAACCTCGACAGTATCTTCTGGATGTAGCTCTTCTGTGACAAGAAAAGCTTCTTCTTCGACCTGTCCCTGTAAATCTTCATACCCAAGATCTTCTGAGCAGCTCCCAAATCCTTCATCTCAAACTCAGCACTGAGAAGCCCCTTTAACTTCTGGATATCAGACTTTGACCTCGCTATGAGCATATCATCCACATACAGAACTAGATATATCATCGAACCATCCTCTGCCTTGCTGTGATATACACAACAATCATATGGACTTCTGCTGTAGCCCAGCTCAAGCATGTAACTGTCAAATCTCTTGTACCACTGTCTCGGAGATTGCTTAAGTCCATACAAGGACTTCTTCAGCTTACAAACATAGTCTTCTTTTCCCGGAACCTTGAATCCTTCTGGCTGAGTCATGTAAATTTCTTCCTCCAACTCTCCATGTAGGAAAGCTGTCTTCACGTCTAGCTGCTCGAGCTCCAAGTCATAATGTGCCACTATTGCTAGTAGCACTCTGATCGAAGTATGTCTGACCATTGGTGAGAAAATCTCATTGTAGTCAACTCCTTCCCTCTGCGAGAAGCCTCGTGCAACCACCCGAGCTTTAAATTTCATGCCCTCTTTAGAAGTGATTCCTTCCTTCTTCTTGTAGATCCACTTGTTTGTAACAATCTTCCTTCCATGTGGTCGTTTGACTAGCTCCCAAGTCTGATTCCTGTCATGGGATTCCATCTCATCTCCCATTGCGGCAAGCCACTGATGAGCTTCACCACCCGAAACTGCTTCTCTATAGGACTGTGGCTCTCCTGCATCCACTTCCTCAGCAACCTGAAATGAATACGCCACCATGTCCTCGAAGCCATACCTCTGTGGAGGTACTCCTGCAGTCGCTCTCTTCGGTCTACCGGAAGCAATAGACTGTTTATCTCGTGCACTGGACTCTGAAGTTTCTGGCTCTGTAGAGACATCCTCATCATGTTGATCTTCTCCACCTTGGTGCTCAAACTCACTCTCATTGAGAGTTTGCAGCTCCACCTGCTTATCAACATTCCTGCTACCTTCAGCAACAGTAACCTTCAACATGGGGTTAAACATAGACTTCTCATCAAATATCACATTTCTACTAAGTATAACTCGATGCTCAGAAGGTGACCAGACTCAAATCCCTTAACTCCATCTCCATAACCCACAAATACACCCTTCTTTGCCCTTGGGTTCAGTTTACCCTCATCCACATGATAATAAACAGGACACCCAAAAACTTTCAGTGAAGAGTAATCAGCAGGCTTACCATACCACACTTCATAAGGAGTCTTACACTCGATACCTGTGTGTGGTCCACGGTTGATCAGGATGCACGCCATGTTTACTGCTTCTGCCCAGAATCTTCTCTCTAGTCCAGCATTAGAGAGCATGCACCGTGCTCTCTCCAACAATGTCTGGTTCATCCTTTCTGCAACGCCATTCTGCTGGGGTGTATCTCTAACAGTCCGATGACGGGCAATCCCTTCATCCTTGCAGAATTCGTTGAACTCAAAACTGCAAAACTCCAGACCATTGTCCGTTCGCAGCTTCTTGATCTTATTACCGGTCTGATTCTCCACCAATGTCTTCCACTGCTTGAACTTTGTGAAAGCCTCACTTTTCTGCTTCATCATGAAAATCCAAGTAAATCTCGAATAATCATCAATAATAGACAGAAAATACCTGCTGCCTCCAATGGATTCAACTCGTGAAGGACCCCAACAGTCGGAGTGGAGGTAATCCAGTATCCCCTTCGTCCGGTGGATACCCTTCTTGGGAAACTTGCTGCGATGTAGCTTCCCAAACACACAATGCCCACAGAATTCCAAATTCTGCACCTTGTGCCCGCAAAGAAGATCCCTCTTCGATAGAACTTGCATCCCCCGTTCACTCATATGCCCCAGTCTCATGTGCCAGAGAGTGGTTATATCTTCCTGTTGAACCTGAGACGATGCAACTGCAGCAGAACCAGACAACACAGACCCTTGTAATGCATACAAGGTCCCACACTTCACGCCCTTCAACACCTTCCTTGAACCTTTGCAGACATACACAAGTCCACTTTTTCCTTTGAAGCTGAAACCCTTGTTGTCGAGTAGACTCAAGGAGATCAGGTTCTTTATCATTCGTGGAACACGCCTGACATCATTCACGGTATAGAACGAACCATCATGTGTCCGAACCATTATGGACCCGATTCCAACAACCTTGCAGACGGCTCCATTAGCCATGACCACGTTACCACCATCTATCTGCTCGTAGGTTGTGAAGCAATCCCTGTTCGGAGACATATGGTATGAGGCTGCAGTATCCAGAAACCACACATCCCCACGATGTGCCTTCTCATCTACAGCCAAGGCGAGATCGTCTTCAGAACTGTTGTCCACTTCTGCCACGGCAACTGAACCTTGTTTCTTCTGTTTCCCTCTTCTCTTGGGACAGTTGTACTTCCAATGCCCCACTTCCTTACAGTTGTGACAAGCATCACCTGGCTGTGGACATGGGACCCTTGGAATTCTTGCTCGAATTCCCTTTACCAGATTTCTTCTTTCCCTTTCCACCTGTAACAGCCAAACCCGATGCCTCACCACCTGTACCAGAACCAAATGCCTTATGCCTGATCTCTCTCGTATGAAGAGCAGACCTGACATCCTCCAACGACACGCTTTCTTTACCGGCAATAAAAGAATCAACGAAATTCTCATATGAACTCGGCAAAGAAACCAGCAGGATTAGGGCAGCATCCTCGTCATCAACTTGAACATCTATATTACGCAGATCCAGCAAAATAGAGTTAAGCTGTTCAAGATGTTCCCTCAAAGGCGTACCTTCTTGCATCCTCAAGCTAAACAACCGTTGCTTGAGATGCAGCTTGTTGGTTAAGGACTTCGTCATATACAGACTCTCCAACTTTAACCACAAGCCCCGGCAGTCTTCTCAGCAGCGACTTCAATGATGACGTCATCAGACAACGATAGCATGATGGTCGAGTGGGCCTTCTCCTCCAGGGTATTCCACTCATCGTCATTGACCGCTGCCTTCTTCTGTTTCGCAGACAGCGGCCCCCACAACCCTTGCTGTTTTAATAAAGCCTGCATCTTGATCTGCCATATAGCGAAGCTGTTCTTCCCCGTGAACTTTTCGATCTTCATGTTCACCGACGTCATTCTTCTGAATCGAAAAACCCTAGCCTGATTTCCAGCCGCGGCTCTGATACCACTTGTTATAAACGCGCTGCTACGGATCGGGAAATCGCCGGAATCGACAAAGCAAGAATACGAAAGCGAGAATCGAAAACACGACACACGATTTATGTGGTTCACTAACACGATGTGTGTTAGCTACGTCCACGGGCGAGAGAGAGCCGATTTCACTATATCAAGGAGATTACAGATTACAGAGGAGTATGAGAAGTATTTATAGTACTT